ACATATTGAAATTGATCGATTAATTGTGTTTGTAATAATAAGATAAATAAAATATTATAATAAAAAACTTTACTCGTGTTTTATTTTTTTATTAGATAACAAGTTCAGGTGTAATGTCAAAAATTATTTTTTTTTTTCAACGGATAGAGATGTACAAATTAATTTACGTATATGTCCACTAGTCTGGTCAAAGTTAAGGTTCAATGGATTGTCAAGAATTAAACTCAAAATATTAGAATGTATAACTTGTCCCCATTATCATTTAAGTTATTCCCTAAAATTCAAAAATTACTTTTCAATATCATGGACCATTATGTAAAAAATAGAATCAAATTAATTTCCTCTCACTTTCTTTTCCTAAATACTCATTGCACCCCCTTCTACGAAGCACAAAATACAAATAGCCCAACCTAAAAATCCAAACATTTGTTTTTGTTTTGGTTTGAGAAAGGAAAAAAATTAGAATTTTTGTATTGCTTATGAACTTAAAAGACCCACAATTGAAAGTTTTGTTGCTAGGAGACAGTCTAACACCAATGTTTCCCATCCAAATAGCATAGTTCCCATGGGTACATTTTTTGCCTTAAAAGCATAAATATGAGTATTCATGTGGTAGCAAAATAAAACATATTTTTTTTTTTTTAAAAAAAGTTAGGGGTGTCTCGGTCAATTTATGTCGATCTCAACTAATTTTTTTTCCGGTTCGATCAAAGCAAACCACTTACACTAGAATTAGAATATTCACGAGCGATTTATGAATATTGATGTGGTAGCAACATAAAACATTTTTTTTTTCAATAGCCTGGGGTGTCCGGCCCATTCACGTGTACCTTAACTAATATCTTTCTTAGTTTTGTTAAAGGCAGGTCATCTATGCCGGAATTAAGGTATTCATAAGAGATAAATCCATCATAGCCTAATTCTAAAGAGTTGTCAAAATTCAAATTCAAAACCCCTAAATTTATAACTCATCTCTATTACCACTTGAATTATCTTAGAATTAACATAAAACACTTTCACGCCCAAATCATCTATGTACGAGCCTTGTGGCTTATGGGAGCGTTAATTCATGGATTCATCAAGCTTAGAGGCATTTTTTTGTAGTATTTTTCTAGTTGTAATTAGTGATGCCAACCTGACCTAATCTAAAAATTTATATTTTGAATAATTTATAGGACCGTCTTACAATATATCAATTATTTTGATAATTTATTATGTGTAATTTTTATTTATTTTTAATTCAATCATGTATCTTGAATTCAAATGAAATTACTATATTTTGATGACTTCTGTGTCAACCATGTGTATCTCTCGTCGTTAAATGTAGCTATGTGAATTGTATAAGGGGAGACGAGTTTTTATCGAATATTAATGATTTGTTTATTAATTATTGTCATATCAAGTTTGTATCGTTATAAATTGTGTGTAACCGATATATATACATAGCATGTCATATATTTATTTTAATTTATTTATTAATCATTTGATATTTTCACTAATTTATAAAAATAGGTGATTTAAGAAATATATAATGACGTCAATTGACANTTTGATATTTTCACTAATTGATAAAAATAGGTGATTTAAGAAATATCTAATGACGTCAATTGACACCCTTAAGTGAGTCAATTTTTAACTTTAGTGGGTGGTCTGAGTAAATTAAAAAAGTAATAAAAAGAAAAAGGCAATGAGAAGAAAAAGAAGCAAACTTCAGTTTGGTTTACTACTTTGTCTGGACTCGTCGCCTATACGGTCCATCAACATCCATCAAGCCTCCTAGATTTCAGTACTTTCAACGGTCATGATTACTCATACATTTTTGGCCTTGTGTTGTACCTAAACCTCTGCTTCAGGGTATCATTACTCTTATTCTAAGTAGACCTTCGAAGTTCGGAGGCCTTTTTAGGTCAATTCCTACATACTAATTTTTTCTCAACAAGCCTGGAATGGCACCCGCGTGTGCGGTATCAGCCAAAACGAGCGTACCCCTTTTTTAAAACACTCTCTCTCTCTCTCTCAAAACACACAACTTTCTCTCTTTCTCTCTATTAGGAGAATCCACCAGCGGATCTGCCATTGAAAGATATATTCGAGATATATCGTTTTCCAAGCCGTACACTTCATAGTTTCGAACGAGCCCACCTTGTTTCTCTCTCATTTCCTTGGGAAAGAGTATATATACGTGTGTGTATATATATATGTACATATATAAGAAGAGTCAGAAATTGTAGAGAGAGAGAGANCACCTTGTTTCTCTCTCATTTCCTTGGGAAAGAGTATATATACGTGTGTGTATATAT